ACCATTTTCATCCTTGTTTTAGTGGCAATACTGTTGAAAGGGCCTATCCAATCAGCATGGTACTCTAGTAGTTATATGTATAGCATGTGTTCAGTAGTGCAGAAAATGTGAAATCTGTCACTCTGGAGATTAGCACAATTACCACTAGATTCCAGCCTCTTAAAAGTGAATAAGGAATACGATTCGGGGATTCCCTCAGATAAAGGTTTGTCTGCCAGGATGCATGTATATCAAACCCAGTGTAGGTATAATTTGGGTCTCCGAACTTAATTTTGTAAGAGAACCTAATTCCTTTTTGTTTGTTTAAGAAATTTCTTGGATTATCAAAGTATGCTGTCTTTATTCAGGACCAGTTTAGATGTCTAAACTCATGTGGTTTCAATTTAAAACAGCTGTTAAGAAAATGTGTGATTTTCCCTCCCCCCCTTTAATATAAGAAAATATAGGTTTGCATCAAATATACCAGCTTAGAAAGGCTGGACATCTCTTACACTTAAAAACATTTTTTTGAAAGATCTTAAGCCATTTTTATAGTTTTTAAGAATTTCCAGCCTATTTACAGAGACAAGTGACTTGCAATAATACAGTATTGGTAGGAAGTATGGTCAGCTAGAAGATGTTTCCACAAATTAGATTGTACTGCATAATATACAAATAATGAAAAAGTTCAATGACTGCCCTCTCTTTAAATTGAAAATACTCGAGATATACAGTGTTGTTATGCGTATAATATTGGGAGTTTTAGGTAAGTATAGGATTTCTTATTGTTTAGGATTTCCTTTTATTTGGCGCATCTTGCTGAGTACTGAACACTCAGTTTTTGCAGATGCTGAAAAGTAAATTTTAATGCTGATTCACCGTTAAAAAAAATAATAGATGGTTAGGCATGAAATGGAAGTACTGCTACATTTTTAAGGTACCTGGTGTTTATTACAAGATAAATATAGTTTTTAAAAAGATGTAAAAAATCAAATGGATATCTATGCATATGTATGTATGTAGGTGATAAAACAGAAAATGTTTGTGTACACAGTCATGTTATTGATGTACCAAGGTTAATCCAGAAATACTTCTGCAAGGTGAGATATAGTAAAACTAGCCCATGTTTCTAACTGAATTGTGACAAGTAATAAAATATTTTTTTAAGCATACAGATATTCCACCCTAAAAATTCTTTGTTTATCTATAACTTGCACCTGTATTAAGAAGTGCACGAGATGCTGTAAAATTCTTTGCATATATAGAGAGACTTGTAGAGGAAATATTGGCTTCCTCAATGAATGAAAGCTTTTACTTTAAATGGAGTCAGAATGGCAAGAATGATAACTTATTTCATGGATGGACTAATTTAAACACATTTCAATGTAAATGCTTTGTGTGCACTTACATATACACAAGTGGTTATTTCATAGCAAAATGAGGTCAGAGGGGCAAGCGGAAGTGCTCTGGGTCAATATACAAGGGGGCCATGGGGAGAGGGATCTAACGGTGGGGGTCTACTACAGACCCCCCGACCAAGGGGAGGAGCTGGACCGGGAATTTTCGGGCCAGCTTGCAGAGGCACTTAAGGCAAGGGATGTAGTTGTCATGGGTGACTTCAATGACCCGGACATCTGCTGGGAGGAACAGTCAGCCAGGTCGGACCGTTCCAGGAGGTTCCTGGCCGAGATACAGTACCTCCACTTAATTCAGGAGGTGCACAGTCCCACCAGAGGAAATGCCCTGTTGGATCTGGTCCTGGCCACAGGCGACGACCTGGTAAGGGGCCTCCAGGTCCTTGACCACCTGGGTGATAGTGATCATCGTTTGCTGGAATTCATCATCCAGTGCAGGTTGTCAAGGGCCTGCAGCAAGGCAGTAGCCCTAGACTTCAAGAGGGCCAACTTCAACGAGTTGAGATTAGTGGGAGAGGGGCTGGGGTTCTCAAGAGCAGGGGAGCTCAGTGCCCAAGATGAGTGGT